AGACGACACATTTCCCTGCAACTTTCTTTTTAGGTTTAATAGTATCAAAATAAAAATGAACAGTAAAATAAAATGTATTCTCCAGCTCTTGTGCTGAAAGAAAAGAGGAAAATCAATTTAATAATCAGAGAAAGCTTAACTCTAGTATCATAAATTTTAAAAATAGGTAAAATTATGGAAAAAGGAAGGTGTCGTATATATGCAATTTTATCTCTGGGCACCAACTACACAATGTATAGAATTTATAAAGGTTCTTCTGTATATTCTTCAAACATAACTAAAAAAACCCAACTAGTAGAATAATAATTAGAATTTAAAACAAGTTTGACTCTGTTATTTCTAGTAGTTCCTGGGTTCATTAGAATAAAAAAGGCCTAAAACCAATGAAAATATACTATGTATATAATGCATATGGTGTAAACTGTTATAGATGTTTTCTAGAGTTTAAGGCCCTTCATCCTTCTTCTCATATTTTATCAAAAATAAGACATGATGGTAAATAAACTTGCATTTCTCCTATAAAGAAAACACACACACACCACCTCCTAATTAGTAGTAAAAGCCCAAAGGAAGACATTATCTGTTCTCTTATCACAGTCTGATTTTACAAACTTTCAGAAAAACAATTACAATCCCCCATACCTCTCCCTGCTTTTGTCCATTCCCTCCACAAATTAAGCAATTCAAATGTAGTATTGCCATCATTTCAAACTGAATCAAAAGTAAACAGCAGGCCATCGATCCTTTATGACCACTGTCACGACAGCACTGAGAGGCAAAGGTTTCCCCTCTAAAATATGAAGTAAATGCCAGAAGTAATATAAATATTGCCCACATTTATATATTAAATGATAACATTTTTACGTAGGGATTGCAACAAGTTGTATCTTATAAAGCCTCAAAGTTTAAGAAATGCTGTTAATAATGAGTCTTCTAGAAAGGTATGATAATAAAGGAGAATTAAAATATTAAAATAAATACAACAGATTTACATGTATCTGTTCTTCTGTAATTGCCATTAATTCACAAAACTATAATCTAGTTATGTTTTGAGGTCTTTCTTGTCCTTTTTTAATGAGGTTTTTTTCAGTGATTTAACATTCCAAAGATTCACAAGTCTCTTTCCAGGGTAATTTTTTAGAGTAGGAGTTTCAACTAGAGGTAGCATGACAACACAAAACCCCCTCCAGCCTTATCATTATGCTATATTAGAACCCCACATATCTGGCCCTACATTCAATATGACCTCTTGGTTTCCAGATAGGAATCTAAAGTAGATAAATAATTGGAATGGGGAGAAATGGCCAGAGCCAAAATTACCTTCAGATAATTATACACTACTTCTATTTCCATACATACTAATTTCTAACATACCTGATATTTGAGTTTGCCGATTAGCCTAGAAATCTGTACATACATTTTTTTGATGTTTTAGGTCTATGATTTGGGCTTTTATCTTAACTCCTTTTCCC